TTTTTTTATTAATAAATATACATATATTTTGTTAATTCTATCAATGGGATATGGGATATGGGATATGGGATATGGGACATGGGTTGGGATATGGGATTGGGTTGGGGTTGGATGGGATTGGGATGGGATGGGATGGGATGGGATGGGATGGGATGGGATTGTGATGGGATGGGATGGGATTGGGATGGGATGGGATGGGATTTTAAGGATTTGAGTATGGGCGGCAAGTATACACCTGCAGTAGTATTGATGCTACTGCTCATTATAGTTATGATTAAGCCCAAAATGTTCATGTGCTACATTCTGATCAACAGGTAAGTAAGATTAATTATCTGAGTCCATGCAAAGTCCATTTATTTGGTATTCAAAATGAAGCAGTAAGGGAACAAATCAATTATGTTCTTAATGAAGATGAAATTATAAGTAAAGGTCCTGATAGTATGCTTAGTATGATCTTTGATGGAATTAAGAAATTGAACAAAGATGAAAACATTTAAAGATCACCTGTGATAATGCTAGTGGACAAAAAAATAATAATACTACTATTTGATTTTATTTATATTTAGTAAATTGTGGTTATTATGAAAGCATTGAATTGAATTTCATGATTCCTGGACATACTAAATTCAAATGTGATGGTAAATTTAGCATGACTAAAAAACCCTATAGAAGAACAAGAGTAGATTGTCTGGATCATGTGGTTTCAATGGTAAAAAAGTCTAGTCCAGCTGGATTAAATGAAGCTCAGTGTTATGAAGATGGAAAAGGTTTTCAATAAAGCATATTTTTTTTTGAATCAATTATTAATATTTATTTTACTTTTTAGGTGAATCTCATTACTCCAACAATAAAAGAGAAATATTGATAAGAATTTTTGATGTTTTTGAATCCAATTTAAAGGAAAATTTCAAGCATAAATCGGATTATTTAAAAAAAGCAATGTAAAATTTTTTGGTATGTTTTGTAATTACTCAACACTACTATATAGTTCTGGTTCTTACTTGTGCAATGATCGAATTGAACATAAAAAGTAAGTTTAATGCTTTATAAATTTATATGCAGTTAAATATTTTTAATCATTAATACTAATAAAATAATAATTCATAATAGATGTGTTGATGAGTTGATTAATGGGATCACACCTCCTGCCAACAATATTGCTGATAGATTACGAAGTCACTGGCCCAGTTTGTATCAAAAGTTGGCATCAAATGTTTCCTGAGCAGGTGAATATTATTTATATTTCTATATATATAATTTAATATTTTAAGGAAAATTTTAATGTTATTATTATTACTTTTATAGGTGAAAAAACTGTTCACCATGTTGGCTATCAATTTCAACACATTAACAGATATTTATCATGATGCTAAGGATTTTGATAACGGTTTGTGTGTCATTTTACCCTTTGGTGAACTTGGAAGAGGCGATACTCTTTGGTTTTTTTAATCATAAGAGTTGCTTTCCTAACAATTGAGGAAAAAAAATTTTAATATTTTGTAATTATCTTTTTTTATCTTATAGCTATAAATTTTTTATCCTAATCAAAATTAGGTGATGTAAATATACATAAAAATTGTTCAAATAAAGAGATACAAACATGAAATTAAATAAATCAAGCTTTTAGATTACAAAAGTTTTTTTTTATATATATAGTAACATTGAAAAAAAAATTACCAATAGATAAACTTTATAAACAAATGAGATGGGGCAAAAGGCTCTTTGTAACTTTATTGTAGAAGACTTAAACAATAAACCATAAAAGTTTCATTCAATTTTATTATGAAAAAAAAGTTATTAAAGTAGTAGGTTGTAATCTTTAAAGATTGCAACCTACTTACGTTAGACTGTTATCTACTTATGATTAGTGATGATAAGTTCATGTTTTCTGTCGTCAGACCAAATATGATGGTGGCGAGCTTTTGCCATCAGGCTACATTCAAACATTCATATATCAGAAAGACGATGAGTTCATGTTTTCGTCAACAGAAATGAGAAACCCAATTCATAAGAAAATACATTATAGCGACTATGTGCGGTGATGTGTGTGTCACGTTTTTCGCGTCATAATTAGGTCATAATGTCATAATATTGTAGCATCTGAGTGATAGCTGTAATGTCAAAATCAAAAGTCATAACTAAGCCGTAATCTCATAATCTCATAAATATTGTGATTAGGCTATAATGTCATAATACAAATGTATTTTAACTTACCTACAAGCCTGTAGCTTTTTGGTCAATGTTGATTAATTTACATTTATGGTCAAGTTCGAATTAACTTTTGAGCTTGTCAATTAATTTGTTTTATGAATTTATCCTGCTTACTGCACTTTCTTGTACCTAGAAAGCTGTAAGCACACTTTTATGGTACAATTAACAATAAATAAACATGACTCCATTATAAAGCAATAAAATGCTTTACTAAAGTTTCTTGTTTATTTACTTTTCTTTAGTCAATTAATTTCCGCCATACGTTTGTCAACAATACTTTAACACAATACAACAAAGTGACATGTGATAATGACTTTGGCTGATAAATGTCAGCACTTCATATCTGGCCGAACAATCTTAACATTTATATTTACTTTATTCTTTTACAAAAACAAAACCATTTTTGCTTATACAAAACTAAAAACCAAGCCTTTGCTTTCCACCAAAGCAAATAACCACGCAAATATTTGAGCATCAAGGCTGAGAGGTAAAGTTGATCCTTGCATCTCGTGGACAAAGCAAAAGAATTTTGAATGGGAAATTGCATTCTACTTGCAGGCATACCGTTTGTCATGTCTACAATTGTGGGATGAACAGAAAAGGCCACTCTAACTTCCATATTTTCTATTTCCAAATCAGTGTAATTCTACAAGTGGAATTGCACGTGGAGGTTGACACATTATCCCAATAGGTTACATATTCTGTGATTCATCTGAGAGTTATTAGGCATAAACCTTGCACCCTTAAAATTTTGGATCATCATTCACAATCCTCCCATCTGACATGTCTATGGACCCTGAAATGATGAATTTATATTTATCACCTGACACAGGCAACATATTTTGATATATGTTGTGTTACTACAGCAAGGTAATATAATTAGGTGTATAGGCCAAACAATCACATTCGACAATACACCTGAGAAAATACAGTACAAAATGTTAAATAAAATTAGCATGTAATTAATTAATTTTATATTTACATTGTGTCAAAGTCGAAACTACCTGAATTAATAATGCTTCTTCATTTTCAATAATTGTAGATTTTTTATCATGTCTTCTTGTTGTGGTATCGTCCTATGAGATAAAAAATGTTTTCCACATCTCTAAAGGTTAGTCTACAAATTCCTAAATTGCGACCAATTATGACAATTGAAAATGGATGTCTAAATATATTTATGACATTACGACATGTCAAAACAACCCTTATAAGAGCCGTAATAAACGAGACTTTATTCTTGACCCTTGTGATCAAAAACCATAAAGATCAATGAAATAAGGTATTCCTGGACAAATTAATCAATAAAAAAAATATATTTTTAATAATCATACCAGAATTGTTTCCCGGATGTTATTTTGGTTATCATAAAAATTTAGAAAGTTCCAACACCTTTGAATATTATCACTGAAATAAGATATTCCTTAATAAACTATACTTTCTATTGTGAGATTGTAAATCGTGGACCAACCAATTGACCGTTAATATTGACCAATTAGAACGAACTTACTACGGAAGT